GAGGTTCAATTTAATTTGGATAATACTTGCATTCTCTCTTTGTTGAGTGTTGACTTTAAAAATTACAAAACTTTTATGGTGCGTAATAAGTGGAACTATTGAATTAACTATGTTCTTCTTGTGAATGTAGGGATGCTAACTCATGATCGAGCTCAGTCAGGTGAGCATAATAGATTTGATGGTGATGGTGTCAATGTGATGTTGATTTCTGCACTTGAGCGACTACGACCAATGAAATAACACCTCTTGGCCTAAGGTTCTAAAACCTAGAGATAAAATTACTTAATTCATTGCGAATTTCAAGATCTTGTGCACTAGATTTGGCTGCTTCAACTATATTCGTAAGAATGTAAGTGCGCCAAATTGGTATTTGACCATATGGGCAAAGATACTCAAAGAAGATGAGTATTTTTATAGTGAACATGGTTCAGGCAGTCTGAATACTGAACTATGAAGTTCATTTGGAAGTAACCGAAATATAACACCTCACTTTGCTGGGAAGCTAATCAAGTAAACTTTTTCAGCGAAAGAATTGAAAACTCTTCGCCAACTAAGACTTATATAGATAATCAACAAACCAAAAGCATTGTCGTAGATGCTCCTAAATCGCCTAATTCTATGGCTCCAATGTTGTTAATTCAAACTGAAGATGTTGCCCGTTGTCAACATATTGTTGTTTATCCAAACTGAAGATGTGTTGATGAGAGGGTTAGAATAATTAGTATTTTTCTTAGGGTTGTGAGAAGGTTTCGCATAGAGCGAGGTTTTTTCGCGTAGAGCATATTGAGTTGCTTGTTGAGTTGAATGGGCTCTCTGTGATGGCCAAGTCTACCGAATGGTATAATTCTGATAATATTTCAATTCTTCGGCAATTCTCTGAATATACTCGGAATTATTCTCGGCTGAAACTCTATTGTCGCCAAGTCTTACCGTTTTTTACTAAGACTCTAAACCTAGATTGTGTACGCAATTGATTCAACCTTTATTTGGAAACCAATCTTGATCATTAATATTCCTCTCATCCAAAAGCTTAAAATATATAGGCCCAATGGGTGCAAAATCAGGTCCGAACAACGAGTAGCGTATTGTTGATGCATAAATCCACCAGACTGCTAGGTCCTTGAGCATGAGTGAATTACCTGTTCCTCTTAACTCAGTAAAATCCTCGAGTAAAGACTAAAACAAGCAATCATAAATAGCAACCTAAAACTACAGATGCACTCTCCAAGCACAAACATACAACTTAGGAGGAAAACCTATCGACGTCAGAAGCTAACCTGCTGAACAAGATGGTGCATCATCATATGAAAAAAGGGAAGTTTGTACTTTATCTATAGATTCTATACATGTTGCAATTAAACAGAAATCCTGCTGTTCCATGTTTAATTAGAATTAGACTAGACAAGCATTAGAGCAAAGTTGTATTACAGTTATAAGGGAGAGTGGGAGACTTTTTGGAATTATTGGGGTCGTTACAAGACTAAGTAAACCAAGTGGTCAAGAGCATTCACCTCTGAACTCAAAATTATAAGTTTAATTTCTCCGCTCCTTAGTAATTGCTTGACAAGAAAGAAAGGGAAAAACAAACCCACAAACAAGTTAAATGATGAGCAAAGGATTAACAAGAAATGTGGTCAAAAGAAATTATTCAAATCTCACAATTTGTTGAAACACTCCACATTCAAAATATTCTTTCTTAATTACAATTCTAGCTTGCCCTTCATTTTGTTGAATCCACCTCACCTTCCACAAACAAATGAAATTCCACAGCTACCCGCCCACTACCACAAGTCATCGGTGACTCCATTCAATCGTGGTCTCTCTTAACCACAAAACCTAGTTGTATAGCTAACTGCATGAATTTCAATTATGTTTTGGGTAGATTGAATGGAGTCATCGAAGAAGGATGGGAGTGGATGGGTGGCTCTAAGATTTTTTTGTTTTTGGAAGGCGAGGTGGGGTGAATTCAACAACAAAAAAAAGGTAAAGCTGAAATTTTGTTCCGAGAAATTTTAATTGTAGAGTGTTTTAAACAAACTGCAGGGTGTGAATAAAAAACAAAAACCATTACAAAACTCAAAATCACATTCAACATATCCAACTTTTTTGTAATTAAATAAAAATCGATCAAGTCAACTACGATTACAATTCTTAGTTTGTTTTGGTCAAATAATATAATTCCTAGTTTTTACTTGGTTCCATAATACTATTCTTAGTCATGTTTATACTTTTGTAAAGAAAATTCTTATTAACTAGGTTGAACAACTGTAATAAACCTATAAAAGTATATTTAGCTATAATGATGTTTCACTTTTTAAAGTCGATTTGCCAAGTCAAATTGAACCACGCTCATGTAGGGGCAAATAAATTTGTGCACAAATTAGTAAAATACTGCTGGCAACGACAAGATACAATACAATTTTGAGGGTTACACGTAATGATTAAAATAAAATATTAACGAGGCCACCCTCTCCACCTTATCTTTTATTTGTACGAATTTTAAATCTTTGAATGCGTTTACTTTCCTTAGAAAAGTACAAAGTCGGTCGGTTTCGTTGTTGATCTTCAAAAATTCTTGGAGACCAAGTAACGCTCTCTCTATATAAACTCACATCACCAACCCCAGAACCCATCAATCGATCCACCCATCGATCAGATCACATCCCAAACCCCAATTTCGTACAATCCCATACCACCAATGGCTCCTCCAAGTCTCCTCGGTCCTCCGGAGCTCAGGACCCCGACCCCACCACCCCAACCCCAACCCGCAGCCCCCTCTGGCAACCCATTCGTCGACCTCATGGTCGCAAATTACAACGACGCAGCCAAGGTTCCGGTGATCGCACCTCCGATGGGATACACCGAGAACGGCGCCTCCACGTTCCTCAACTCCGGCAACCCCTGCGTCGATTTCTTCTTCCACATCGTACCCACCACCCCTGCCTCCTATTTCAACACCCAGCTCCCGCTTGCCTGGGCACACGACGACCTGACCACCCTCAAGCTCATCTGCAACCTCCGCGGCGTGCGGGGAACCGGAAAGTCCGACAAGGAGGGGTTCTACACGGCGGCGTTCTGGCTCCACAAACACCACCCCAAAACCCTCGCCTGCAACGTCGCATCCTTCGCCGAGTTCGGGTACTTTAAGGACTTGCCAGAGATCCTGTACCGCCTTCTAGAAGGCGAAGACGTGAGGAAGAAGCAAAAGGCAGAGTGGAATATCAGGAAAAGCGGGTCGGGTCGAACTAGGAGGGATAGGAGGATGCGAGGCCGCACTCGGCCTTTACGCTACAAACCGCCACCATCAACCTACGACAATTCACCATTCTATTCAGCATCGCATCAGCACCCGTGGGGTCTGAAACCCCCATTCAGCGGCGGCCGCGGCCGCAAGTCAAGTAATAAAAAATATGGTCGAGGGGATGAGCAATCTAAAGAGGCCAGGATACAACTGGCAAAGGAAAGGGCACAATCGGAGAAGGAAAAGGCAAGCCTTTTGAGGAATGAGAAGAAGGCTGCCATGGCCAAGAAAGCCATTGTGAGGTATCAGCGCGACCCTGATTTCCGATTTCTGTATGAGAGGGTTTCAGACCTTTTCGCAGAGTGTTTGAAGTCCGATATGGAAAATTTCAAGGCCAATCAGTACAAGAATATCAGCCTGGCAGCCAAATGGTGCCCTTCAATCGATTCCTCCTTCGATAAGGCCACTCTGTTGTGCGAAAGCATTGCCAATAAGGTTTTCCCAAGAGAATCGTACCTGGAGTACGAAGGGGTTGAAGAGGCACATTATGCGTACAGAGTGAGAGATCGGCTGAGGAAGGAGGTGTTGGTGCCGCTGAGGAAGGTGTTGGAGTTGCCAGAGGTTTATATCGGTGCTAATCAGTGGGGTTTGATTCCTTACAACCGAGTGGCCTCTGTGGCCATGAAGTTTTACAAGGAGAAATTCTTGAAGCACGATGAGGAGAGGTTTAAGAAGTATTTGGCGGATGTTAAGGCCGGAAAGTCCACCATTGCTGCAGGTGCTCTGCTTCCGCACGAGATCATAGAGTCTCTGAATCATGGAGATGGCGGTCAGGTGGCCGAGCTTCAATGGAAGAGAATGGTGGATGATCTGTTGAAGCAAGGGAAGATGAAGAACTGTTTGGCTGTGTGTGACGTCTCTGGCAGCATGAATGGGACCCCAATGGAGGTTTCCGTGGCTTTGGGATTGTTGGTGTCCGAGCTGATTGATGAGCCATGGAAGGGGAAGGTCATCACTTTCAGTCACAACCCTCAGCTGCATCAGATACAAGGCCATGATCTAAGCTCCAAGTGCAACTTTATAAGGACAATGGAATGGGGACGCAACACGAATTTCCAAAAGGTGTTTGATTTGATTCTCCGAGTGGCGGTGGACGGGAAGTGAAGCCGGAGCAAATGATAAACAGGATCTTCGTGTTTAGCGACATGGAGTTTGATCAGGCTTCAAGTAGCAGGCATTGGGAGACTGATTACCAGGCTATACAGAGGAAGTTTACTGAGAAGGGGTACGGGAATGCGGTGCCGCAGATTATCTTTTGGAATCTGAGGCATTCGAAGTCTACGCCAATGCCGAGCAACCAACCAGGAGTGGCATTGTTGAGTGGCTTCTCCAAGAATTTGATGAAGTTGTTCTTGGACAACGATGGGGAAGTTCGCCCGGACCTTGTCATGGAAGCAGCCATCTCTGGAGAAGAATATCAGAAGCTTGTTGTGCTGGATTGATCAGTTCATCTGATGTTCCTCTTCCCATTGTAAAAATTTACCCAAAAAAGCAAAATTGAAAACAAAGAAAAAAGTTGTATTTCTAGGCTCCATCATATGAATTCCAAATTACATTGATTTTTTTTCTATATAACATCTTTGGTTCTTAAAATCGCAAGACCTCTAATTTCATCTTTTATGGCTTCAACAAAGTTACAAAAGATAATGAGTCTTCTTGAAGCGTCTCACGTCCAGTCTAATGATTTTAGGAAGATAATGCATTCCGTATCAACCTTAATGATGAATGAAGATTAAACCGGTTTAGACCTTTATTTTTCATTCATTATTAGGGAAGATGTGCATTTTTATGAACTAGAAATTTATATGAATTTATATGACATTGTAGGAGTGATAAGAACCGTTTATCTTTAGACCCGAATTTTTTTTTTCAAATCCCCATTTCAATATCGTTCGGAAAAAAAGAAATAAGTTTAAGGGATCAAAGCGTAAACGGATTGCTATTTTTCTCGTAAGTGTAAAACTATATCTACATTTTTTATTTTGTCAAAAAATTAAATCGATACTTTTATTTATTTAATTAATTTCCCCAATTTTCAATTGGTAAATTCTAAAATCTAAAAGCCCGCGGCTGAGCGGCTTTTCCCTCATCTTCGTCCTCGCCGTTCAGCAGTAGGGTTTAATACCTCTATTCCTCAAAACCCTCAGCAAATTAAACAAGAAATATGAACGTTGCTGCTTCCCTATCATCCATCGCCACCGTCCGCTTCCCCAATTGCCACCGCTGCTTCGGCTTCTCAAAACCCCTAATTCAATCTCCGTCGCTTTGGATAATGGCCCAATTCTCGTCATCGCAATCTCCCTCCGCCGCGCCGGAAACGGCGGTTGTGGAAGCCAAGACGCCGCCCAAGCAGCCGTGGCTCATCGTCGGCCTCGGAAACCCCGGGAAGAAGTACAACAGCACCCGCCACAATGTCCGTACGGCCCCTCTTTCGAATTGACACACAAAGTTCAATACTTTGATCCTCATACTTGTGTTAAATCTTGTTGTTTGATAACCCAATTGCTCATATTTCGTAATTTTTGAATCTAAAGCTTGCAATTTATGGTGGTGATGTTTTCGCAGGTGGGTTTTGAGATGGTGGATGCCATTGCTGAAGCTGAAGGGATACCTTTGAGCAGTGTTTCTTTCAAAGCCCTTGTTGGAAAAGGTTTGTTTGCTTTAAATTTAGTTATCATTTTCAAAAGATTGCATATGGAGAAGTTTTGTTATGTTGATTGTATGATTATCTGCACTTGACAAAATATTGTTTGATTGATTGTGGATGTACTTAACCAAACCCGCAACTGAATTCGCTAACATTGTTCTACGCGTTCACCTTCGCATAATGTTCTGCATATATTTTTCGTATGTCTCTAACCATTTAATACCATTTACAATCTCATTTTGTTATGAGTTTTATGGCTGCTTTATGGAGCTTACGGATGAATATTTCTTTACTTTGTTTTCAAGATTCCCAGTTGTTAGGGAAAGTTATAATCTTCATTGAGCTTCGTTTTCATGTTCTCCAGGTCTTATTGGGGATGTTCCGGTTATATTTGCCAAACCACAAACTTACATGAATAAAAGCGGTGAGTCTGTAAGTAAACTATCTCAAAATTTGTCTTGATGCTTTGATGTGTTTCGGTGATAATTGGTTGACAATTGGACTCTTCTGTTGAAGGTTGGATCCATTGTTTCGTATTACAAGATTCCATTGAAGCAAGTACTTGTGGTGCAGTTTCTCTCCTTTACTTAATCACTATTATTTTCTCTCTCTCTCTCTCTCTCTCTCTCTCTCTCTCTCATTTTCCTTCCCCGAGTCAGAGTGTCCTGTTTCTCTATCATGCTCTAAGTTTGTGGTTCCCGTTTTCAGATATTTGATGATCTAGATCTTCCCTTTGGAAAACTGCGGATGTTGCCGAAAGGTGGACATGGAGGACACAATGGGTAATTATACAATGCCACCATAGCAGTCTGTTGTTGCTAATATAGTAGTTTTTCTGTTAGATTTAACTCAATAAGTAAAGGGAAATAGAATTCAAAATGGCATAATGATTCTTGATTGGTTCCTGTCATCTGCTTTCTCTTGCAGGATGAGGAGTGTCATTGATCACTTTAAAGGGAGTCGAGATTTTCCTCGTTTAAGAATCGGTACTTCCCCTAGACCACCAAAAGTGTTTCTCTAGTACTTTATATATTACGCATTAAGGAAAAAGAACCTCATATGTTACTTTTGTCATTAAATTGGTGAAATTTGTATAGGCATTGGACGCCTCCTGGGAAAATGGATCCTATCAACTTTGTTCTTCGTCCGTTCACTAAACAAGAACAACAGGAGGTTTGTAAAGTTTCTAATGCAACCTCTAGAGAGGCTTATGTATAGATTGCATTGGTGATTCTAACTACTAGAAATACTTTTCAGCTGAATTTTACGTTTCAAGAAGGTGTAGAAGCGGTGCGTATTCTTTTGCTTGAGGGGGTTCAACAAAAGCGCAACTTTTGTTAACAGTGCCAAACCCTTGGAACAATGCGGTTAAATTGCTTCGTTTGTTATCTTGAGAATCATATTATTTCAAGGTTTCTCAATTTGGCGAACAATCATTGCATTCATTGTTTTCTGGTGGTGACGCCAACTCACAAACGCTAGCTGAAGATTTATACAGAGCCTCCATAGGAATTATGCAGTCCAGAGTGGTTCCAACGTCCTTTCGCTGAAAGTGCAGCTGCAGCTATACATTTGATAAGAACTATCATACTTTGAGAATTAGCATACTTGTAATTTTATCAGAAGTTCATTGTTGCTGTTTTATTTTTCCCATTTTTTTTTGTTTTACATATCTTGGATCTATGCAATTTATATAGTCTAAATCTTTTGATTCTTTTCTTATCAAATAAAATTTAGCTTTTCAAATGCTTTTTCCAACGTTTTGGGTTTTCACCTCAATTAAGGCCATGACATTGAAGGGTTTAGGTGGAGAAATTTACGTAGAACAGGTTCACAGCAGCATTCCTGTCCAATAATGTAATGATGTGTGAAGAAAATTTACTCATAGCAATGCATTATTTGACTGAGACGTTACGTTAAAAGTGAACCCTTTCTACTTAAATTATTCTTATGGGAAGAGGTCCAAGTAATTTCATTAGTCTTTTGAACGCTCACCTACCGTAGGTAAGTCTTGTGGTTTGACCTATGTTTTCAACTTCATCCCCTTCAAATCTATGTGCTGGGTTCCAACATCTACTTATGAAAAGTTTGTCATGAATCTCATGATGCAAACTACTGTGCTTTTTTAACATATAGATGCTTCCGTACCTGAATGTAAGAAAGTTGAATATGGATTGAGATATACTTCGGATCTCTGTGTTTGGACTTTGCAGACGGAGAGACCTGGAAGACTTCATTTTAGTCTTACGGCCATCATTATTCCATTCCAATTGAACCAATTTACAAAAACACCGAAACATTGAACGGTCCGCATGTCTCTTTTTTAAACAGTTCGGATCTTTCATCCGCTGACTTTGGACATAGAGATTCAGGCTGAATCTCATTTCGTTGAGTATAACACTATGTTTTTTCTTTGTAATTAAGTTCGAAAAGCATTCTTATAGTTTTAATTAAATTAGAATATTGCTCAAATAAAACGTCTCCATACTAGGGTTTTCTCTGCTGGGGTCTTGGGACCTTCATATAATTGTATTTGAGCTAAATTTTATGGCGTTTAGATGGCTATTATCAAAAGGTAGGTAAGGTTACCAAATTTCTATAGGGTTTTAATCCTGATTCTTTCAAAATATCTGGGTACTTTGACTGGTTCCTTGATCTCTATTTCA